GCCAGGAGACGCGTGACAGTAGGACTAGCAGCACGAAGGGAGTCAGACTCCGGGTCAGGACCGTCAGCAAGGGAGGACGCAGGAGGGGACGGCAGAGGGACACGCAGTGGAGCAGTGGAAGGACGAAACGCCATCCGGTGCGTGCCTGGGACAGCAGGAGGACGCTGACGCGGAACACGACGACCAGTGCGAACAGCGCAAACAGGCGACACAGGACGAGACTCAGGCGATGCAGGACGAGACTCAGGCTCACGGCGCTCCGTAAGACCGCTAGTCGGCCCAGAGTAAGGAGAAGGACCAGGCAATGGAGAGGCTGGCTGTAGCTGCGACTGCGACGGGGCAGGCTGTGGACACAGTAAGGGAAGAGTGGGACCAGTAGAAGGTGGGAGGTCAAGAACCTGCAGAAGAAGTGGAACGAAGTACGGCCGCGGCCGCGCAGCGCCTCCAGAACCAGCAGAGACAGTACCAGTACCCCCAGCTCCAAGGTCTGCAGCTCCAACTCCCGCAGCACCACCAGCTCCAGTACCTCCAGCAGCTCCAGCTCCAGTAGCACCTCCAGCAGCAACAACACTAGCGCCTCCGCTCCAACTCCTGGAGCACCACCAGCCCCAGCAGCTCCAGTACCTCCAGTATGAGCACCTCCGGGACCAGCGGCTCCAGCACCTCCAGCAGCACCAGCACCAGCAGTACCTCCAGCACCTCCAGCAGCTCAAGCTCCGGCAGCACCTCCAGCTCCAGTAGCTCCAGCTCCTCCAGCAGCTCCAGCACCAGCAGCACCTCGCTGGAGTCTCCAGCGGCGAGCAAACCACTCGCGCAGCTGCGGTGGAGAGAGAGGCTCCCGCCGAGACGAGGCACCTGCAGGAACTCCAGCAGACTCAGCACCCCCAGTCTCAGCAGCCGCAGGCTCAGCACCCACAGGCTCAGCACCTCCAAGCTCAGCACCCCCAGGCTCCGCACCCTCAGACTCAGCAACTCCAGGCTCAGCACCCCCAGGCTCCGCACGCTCAGGCTCAGCACCCCGAGGCTCCGCACGCTCAGGCTCAGCACCCCCAGGCTCCGCACCCTCAGGCTCAGCACTCCCAGGCTCCACACGCTCAGGCTCAGCACCCCCAGCAGCACCATCTCCAGTAGCAGCACCAGAGTCAACCGCTACCTCGACAGGCTCGACAGCGTCTACCTGGGACACACCTGAGGGAGCAGGACCCTTAGTGGGGAGGGGGTCTACCGGAGGAGGACCTGGTGCAAGGAAGAGCGGCGGGGGGGGGAGAGAGGCAGTGCGGTAGGGGAAGAGATGGTAAAAGGGAACCGACTCGTCGAACGTGACGTCCTGAGAGGGCAGGACACGGCGCAAGGTGGGGTGGTAAAACTGCCAGCCAGGCGCGTCAGGGACAAAGCCAAGGAAGACGCAAGGAATAGCACGGGCAGAGAGCTTGTCCGCGGTAGTATCGCGGACAAAGGCACGAGAACCCCAGACCCGAAACACTGACGCATCGCCAACCTTCCCCGTCCAACGCAGTGTGGGCGAGGTCTCCGGCAAGGAGACACGGGTCCAGGGGTTGAGCTGATGCGCAGCGTAACGGACCGCAAACGGCCACAGAAAAGGGGGTCAGCCGCATGGACCATGGAGGTACGAGCGACCTCCATGACTAAGCCAATGCAGCGCTCAGCAATCCCATTCTGCTGCGGTGAGGCCGGGAGCGTGAACGTCTGGCGAATGCCCTTCCCACGACAAAAGTCTCGCAGAAAGTCTGAGGCAAACTCACCACCTCTGTCAGAGTGCAGACGCAGGACGGGAAAGTCCGTCCCGAACCGCTCGCTGAGCTGGAGACGGGCAGCGCGGATCCAAGGGATCAAAACATCAGGGACCTCACCCTTGGTGCGCAAGGGGAAGACCGTGGTGTAACGCGTGTAGTCGTCAACAACCAGCAAAAAATACCGCTCGCGGTCCTGTCCATGGACGCGGGCTGGGCCCCACACGTCCATGTGTAGGGTCTGCAGGGGAGCAGTCGTCGGGGGAAACGAGGAGGAGTGAGGAGCGGCGCGCTGCCGCCCCTCGACACAGGGAAGACAGGGAGGAGCAGGCGAGGGTGGGAGGGGAGGTAGAACCCTGGGAAGACCAGAGACAAGGACACGTCGGTGCATGCCACGAAGTGCACCGAGGGGTGACCAAGACGGTGGTGCCAAAGGACGGTCTGGTGCGACAAAGCGCGACACGAGCAGGGGGCTGCTAGCTGACCTGACGCAGACGCAGCTACCTGAGGGGACACAGTAGTCAGTGTGTAAAGACTCGAGCCAGGCACACGGGTAAACATGGCCAGGTGCCGGCCCGTCCGGGAGCACGTACAGTGGGTCACACGCTGACCTCCAGGAGTGAACTGGTCAACCCACACATCCTGGAGGTCAGCTCCACTCACCAAGTTCGTAGAGAACGAGGGGAGGTGAAGACCCGACAGTGAGCCAGAAGGGACCGCCGGCCACGGCAGGACCGTGGAGGAGTGCGCAAGGACTGGGCCCCCAGAGGGGTCTGCCATGGAGACTGCAACCGGCCGACTGAGCGGCGTGAGCGTGGTGCTGTCGCGAAAGAAGGAGCGAGAAGCACCTGAGTCAAGTGTGAAGGTGTGCAAGGCCTCAGCAGGCGCAGTACCAGAGAGAGCAGACTCACGAGCACCTGGAGCAGCAGAATCACTGGCACCTAGAGCAGCAGCCTCACCAGCATCTAGAGCAGCATACTCTATACCTGGGTCCGGCGGCGTGCACAGGTAACAGTCACCCTCAGCACTAACAGGCAATGCATACATGGCAGATAGAATAGCATCAAAGTCCAGTGCAAAGATATCCACTCTCTGCCTCAGCAGCTCCACCCAGCTGGGGAGCTCAGCCTCGTCACCAGACTCTGTACGCCAGGCGTCGCTCAGACATGCGAAGCAGCGGGATTGTGTGTGACCTATCGTCCCGCAAGTCTGGCCAGCCCGATCACCTCTGCGAATGACGTACGGGCAGCGAGCAGTACTCCGAGACCCTCTACTCTGAGCGTACCACTCACGCAGCTGCAGGGGCGTAAGGGTCTCGCGCGGACGTCGCTGGAGCTGTATCTGGCCACCGCCAGAAACTCCCCACCGAGCAGCTCCGCCTAGACTGCCACTGCTGCCGCCGCCACCACTCCCACTGCTGCCACCACCGCCGCCACCACTCCCACGGCTACCACGAAGAGACGCCATAGCGGAAAGGCAGGGCGGCGAACAGGTACTAGGGTAGGGCGAGGTGGCGCACCGTCAGTGAAGGGCGGCGCGTGGCCAGAGTAGGGCGGCGTGCCGGCAGAGGAGGGCAGCGTGCGGGCTGCAGATGGCGGCGCGCGGGCTGCCAGGGTGGACGTGACGGGCAGGGGCAGGGCGGAGCGCGGGCAGCAGGGCGGCGCGCTGGCCCTAGGGTGACGCGACGGGCAGGGCAGGGGCGGCGCGCGGGCCCCAGGGCGACGTGACGGGTAGGGCAGGGGCGGCGCGCGGGCCCTAGGGCGACGCGACGGGCAGGGCAGGGGCGGCGCGCTGGCCCTAGGGCGACGCGACGGGCAGGGCAGGGGCGGCGCGCGTGCCCTAGGGTGACGCGACGGGCAAGGCAGGGGCGACGTGAGGGCCCTAGGGCGACGCGACGGGCAGGGCAGGGGCGACGCGCAGGCCCTAGGGCGACGCGACGGGCAGGGCAGGTCGTCGCGCGGGTCCTAGGGCGACGCGACGGCCAGGGCAGGGCGCAGCGGCGCGGGTAGGGCAGGTGCTCATCAGGCGCGGGTAGAGCAGGTGCCACTGGCGGCGGGTGGGGCAGGCACGCGACTGGCGGCTGCAGGGTAGGGCCGCAACGAGGCGGCTGCAGGTCAGGGCCGCGACGAGCGGCTGAGGGCAGGGCCGCGACAGGTGGCGGCAGGGCAGGGCCGCGACGGGCGGCGAGGTCAGGGCCGCGACGTGGGGCGGCAGGGCAGGGCCGCGACGGGCGGCGGGTCAGGCCGCGACGTGGGGCGGCAGGGCAGGGCCGGGACGGGCGTCCGCGACGGGCCGTTAGGGCAGGGCCGCGACGGGCCGGTAGGGCAGGGCCGCTACGGGAGGCAGTAGGGCAGGGCGCGCTACAGCGCAGGTGAGGCAGGCGCGAGGCGCGCTTCGGGCAGGGCAGGAAAAATCGTGGTGGGCCCTAAAAAAAAACACGTTCCCACTAGGGAACCTACTCTGAAACCATGTGAAAGATAGAACGAGGAATGATTGCATTGAGCAGCATGAAAAGTACAAGTAGGAACCCTAAAGTGTTGTACCCCATATGAACTACCCCACTACAGCCTACACAGACTATAGCATATAAGTTTGACACCGGCGCCATGGCTCCGATGTTGTGTTTAAAAATATCCGCAAGTAGAGTCGTCGGGGCAGTGAAGCGAGGGAGGGACTGCGTCTTCGCCAGACTGGACGAGATTGAAAACTCAAACTTCGAAATTGAAAAGAAGAACGTGGGTGAGGCCGAATGGCTTCAACCCCCTCTTTTGTAGCCAAAAGAAGGCGAGTAGCGATGCGACGCTGTCTTTGCTGCGTTGGCAATCGCTACACTTTCACAATACACAATTTTTGAAAAGTGTTACACACTTTTTAAAAAAATACATTTGTAGAAGCATTGAATGTGAATTTCGCGTAAATTGGCAGTGGCTGATTCCCTGCCAACACACACAGTCAGAATGAGTCAGATTGACCCCATGACAACTCATTCTGACTGGACGCGAAGGCATTGAGTCGCGCGAGGGGGAAGGGTTTCGAAATTCTGAATGTGGGGATGCAATATTTTGTTTCATTACAGCGCTTCCAGTAAAAATTTAAAAAATATTACTGAGGGTGGCGCTTATAGTCCGTAAGCCTTCAGGGGTGCGCTTATAATCGAGGACCGGATATAAGCGCCCTCATCCTTTTATAAGCGCCGGCGCTTATCCGAGGCCTGCGCTTCTATCCGGGGGCTTACGGTACCCTATCAGATTACAGGTCATCATCTGCATGGTTCTCCAGCCATTCCTCCCGCATCTTTCTTTTCCTCTCCAGTCTGTCAACATGCCGCGCCCTCAGTTGCTCCTTGATTCTCTGCCGGTGGTGGTCCGTCATCCCCCCATCCCCCCCCATCCTGTCCAGGTGCAGCTTCTCGCGCTCCTTCATCATCTCCTGCCGCATGCGCTCCCGCTTCCACACGTCGCGGTGCACCAGCGATTCCAGTGGCGGGTCTCCGGGGCGCCGCACCACGTCGTCCCCCACCAGCAACTCGTACGCCTCCTCCTGCTCCAGCACAAACTCCTTCACCTGCGACATACAACAAGAGCGGGTATTGTAAACGATAAAGAGACTCCCACAAACAGTTGGTGTGCATCATCCTGCTCTGGCACCTAGCTGCTTTTCATGCAGAGAACCATGAGTGTTTTGGAACGACATAAAAGAGTGTTCCAATCTGAGGTGTGTCTGATACTTTCATGCAATAGAAGAGACAAACAGAACTGCCTGGTTAGATGGCCAGACGGCGGCTTGCGCTGCCACGCGTTGGCTGATGATGCAGTGTTGGCGTTATCACGCAAACAGGGGCAGTGGGTGTGCTGCTTTCAGGTCAACTCACAGGATACGGTGCGTGTCAGTGTTACCTTGATAGCAGCCGCCGTGGTGGTGAGCAGTGCGATGTGGAAGCTGCCCGAATCCAGTGGATTCACGTTCACGTCGATCCGTGAGGAGCCTCTAAGAGTTACCTTGCTGGCGGCAGCGGTGGTGAGCAGTGCGATGTGCAGCATGTCAGAATCCAGGGGATACACGCTGGCGTGTTTGAGACGTTCCACAACATGACTATCTTGTTACCTTGCTGGCAGCGGCCGTGGTGAGCAGTGCGATGTGGAGAGTGTCCGAATCCAGCGGATACACGTTGGCGGCGATTTTCCCCTCCGTCATGCCCGCCTGCCACCTCGTCGCCAGCTGCTGCACGTCCTCCTGCGAACCGAAAAGGGGTAGCGAGCGCGACACAGAGAGGGGTGAGACAGGGGGGATATCTCACATCTCGCATATGGCAAGACCAGCGGAAGCCACTCAGATGTGAGATGGGAAGGGATGGGTCGGTGGTGTCGCTTTCGGGAGTTCTCAAATGCGAATTGAAAAAAAAGCAAGCGGAAAAACGAAGAGGGTTACTGGAGTGTATTTATATGCGAAACGGACAAGGTTTCCAAGAGTTACGTTTCGACAGTAATTACATGCATGATGAGGGACGTTGGGATAAGGGGAGGCAAGGGCGGGTGGGAAGGGGATACAGAATGAGAAGAGAACAGCTGAAGCATACGACGACTCGGAATGCGTGAGAATGACGGTAAAGCAAGGCATCGCATTGCCGTGAGTTCAGCATTCATAGAATTCACTTTCTCGCGGTCCGAGGGTGTGACGCGAGCCGCCGGGGTCGTGTCGGGGCTTCACAGAAATGAATGACCCCCGTTTGACCGACGGTTTGACCTCCTCCACAAGCTCTAATGTCGAGCAAAAATCACGACCGCCCTAGCGCGTCGACCCTACGCGGAATAGTTAATGACCGCCTTAAAGCAGCGACTGAAAGCGCGCCTGACGTGGTCGACTGGACCTGTTTCTCGATGCCGGACAATGCGCTGCGCGGGTCGGAGTTGCTCGCGACGAGCCCTAGTGACCTACTTTATCAACCGTCCGTTGTCTCTCCCTCGCGCTAATTTCCAGTGCGCAGCGGCAAGATTACTAGTCTCACATGCCATGAAGTTGCATTATTTGTGATTGGAGAACATTGAGACGACTCGAACGGTCACTACGTTGCGAGTGGCGCGAGGGATGGGAGACGTACCAGCGTGCGAGAGCCCGCGTCGTGACGGAGCTTGACGAAGATGAACGACGGCCGTCGATCTCTGATCGACGCCTTCAGCTCCTCCATGCGCGCCTCCCTGTGCAGGTCCATCGCGCGCGTCGCTGCCGCCGCAGCGAACACGAGCACGAGAATTGCGAGCGCCGCATTGCTCGGCGCCATCAAGCCGCCGGAACCGCGGATTAAGCGCATACTGACAGAAGTAAGTAATAGTACCTAGCTACCTGCCGCCTAACCACAAGCAACCATAAATGAAAATCTTGTAGGGAGGAAACTGGGAAAAGTGGGAAATTGGGACACTGAAGAGTCTTCGCCGCTCCACCAGACCCCCGCAAACTCCCTGCGCTCCTCACCCCATCTGCGCACTTCCCCCCCGCAGCATCTGCGCCCCTTTTCCCCGTCCCATTTCTCCCCCTTTCCTTCCCCTACCTCCCCCAAGTTCCATTCACCTTCCCCTCCTCACTTCTCCGCTTCCCCTCGCCCCTCCAGTCAGACCGCCCGGCGGCCTTTGCGGAAGTCAAAGCAACGCCACAGCAGTCCTCGTGGTACTGCTCGCCCGTGCTGACGAGGCTCGGAATGACGCATCGCTCGTAACAATTCGATATATGTATACAGTGTAAATTGCTACTCTCTACAGCCTACATTTCATAAATTGGCTATTCTCATGTTTTAAACTAGATAGTTCAAATATCCACATGAAGACATAATATACACATGATCTTCTCGGACGGCCCACCAATCATGCTGCCAACGCCACAGTCATTCGTAGCTTTTATAATCACTCAATCAGATCTGCTCGTCTTCTGTCGCAAGGAAGTTTGCCGCCTCCAACAGCCTCATCTCGCCACCTGTTTGCGGGTCAAACTGAAGCTTGTAGAACCTGGCGGGCGGGAGGGAGACAACACGTCACACACACACGCACTTTCAAGAATTTGCACGCACATGCACATGCGGCACCAGCAAACCTGTTAAAGCACGGAAGACAAGAGTTAACTAGTAGCAATCATTGCCACAGCCACGGAACAGCAGAGAGACAACTTGCAGCAGCAGAACCTGTTGCAGCAGCAGAGAGTGTACAACAGACAAGCCCAGACTCTGTTATTCGCACTGTTGCATTATTCTTGGCGAAAAAGTGAGCGCACGCATGGGCACAAGCATTGGTGCACGGATGGGCACACACATGAGCAAACACATCTGGGCACACACATTGGCACACACACATTGGCACACACGCATTGGCACACACACATTGGCACACACACATTGGCACACACGCATTGGCACACACACATTGGCACACACACATTGGCACACACACATTGGCACACACGCATTGGCACACACGCATTGGCACACACGCATTGGCACACACGCATTGGCACACACGCATGAATACACACGCATGAACACACACGCATGAGCACACACGCAAGGGCACACACGCATGGATGGGTGCACACAAGCATTAGCACACACATGGGCACACACGTATGAGCACACATCCACATGCATACATGAGAGCACATGCATAGATAGACGTACGCGCCAGTGCTGCCGACGACGATGACTGTGTTGGCCTCGGCACCAAAGGCAGCGAGCATGCGCGTGTGCACGCCCACCCGGTAGAACGCCAGCGAGCGCTCGTCACTGAAGTACTTGGGGAGGACGCCTGAGGGGGGGAGAGGAGGAGGCAGAAGGCAAAGCGAGGCAGAGGGGAAGGGCGGAGTAGCGTGAGAGCAGCGAGCATGCGCGTGTGAACTCCCGCCCGGTAGAATGCCAGGGAGCGCTCGTCACTGAAATACTTGGGGAGGACGCCTGAGGGAGAGGGAGTGGAAGGAGAGGAGTCAGGTAGAGAGAGGAGACAAGGGAGGAGTAGAACGGACGGTAGAACAGTAGAAACACAAGGGAGCGAACATCGCTCTCTGAGAGTGAACATGGACATGTGAGCGAGGAGGGTTGCAATGCAGATTGCAAATTGCTGTTGAAGTTACAGCCACCCTTTGAGTTGAGATAACTTTTTAACCCACTGCTTCTTTAACACACCACTCGAGCACCCCTCCCCTCACAGCCCACCTGTCACCAACTTTAACGACGACAGTGCCGATACCATTCCCCCAACACACCCTGACGCCCCTGCCTTCCTGTCCTTTTTTAGTATACTCCAAGGTACTTGAAGCATAATCCACCCTTCAAAGAACCCACCTTTCATCAGGCCAAACGATGACAGTGCCGACACCGCTCCCCCACCACCCCCTGCCGCCCCTGCCTTCCCCTCTCCGCCCCCCACCCCATCCTCCTGCCCCTGCCCTTGGCCCTGGGAGTGCCGGAGTGAGAACACGTGGATCGTGCCTCTGTCGCTCGCTGCCACCAGGAAGGGCGCTTTGGGGGAGAAGACTAGGCTGTAGATGTCTGCTCTCTCCACTCCCCGACGCAACTGGCATGGGAGGAGCAGGGAGCAAGGGACCAGGAGGAAAGAGAGAGAGAGAGAGAGAGAGAGAGAGAGAGAGAGAGAGAGAGAGAGAGAGAGAGAGAGAGAGAGAGAGAGAGAGAGAGAGAGAGAGAGAGAGATCAAGCTGGCTTTTGAGATTACATAAAAAACAACAACTTGGCTTTCCCACTAGCTGCTACAAAAAAAGGCGTCTTGAGTGCGAGAACGAGGCTGTAGATGTCTGCTCTTTCCACTCCCCGGTGCAGCGACGATGAGAGAGGGGGGTGGGAGTGATCAAGTGCAAGGTGCAGTGCGGTGAGCAGGTGTGAATGACCAGCAACCATCAAAGACCGGTGCCTTGGGGGAGAAGACGAGGCTGTAGATGTCGGCTCTCTCCACTCCCCGGCACAGCTGTGAAGTACAAAAACATGTGCCACACACACATGCCACACACACATGCCACGCACACACTCCCGATCCCCACACTCAAGATCTCACCTCGTGCAGCTTGGTGCCATCCGCTGTGTTGAACACTCTGATTAGCGTGCCCTTGCTGCTCGCTATGGCCAGCTGCTGTCTGCCCTGCCCCAGGAACCAGCACACGACACTCACTGTCCCCACACACAAGCACACCCCCCACAGCTCACCTCGTGCAGCTTCGTCCCATTGTGTTGAAGACTGATGAGAGTGCCCTTGCTGCTGGCCGTGGCCAGGCGGCGCCTGCCCCACAAACCAACACACAGACTCCCAATCCCCACACACTGCTCACCTCGTGCAGTTTGGCGCCATCAGCCGTGTTGAACACGCGGATCAGCGTGCCCTTGCTGCTGGCCGTGGCCAGGCGCTGCCTGCCTCAGAAACCTAAACACTCACTCCAGATCGGTGATTCCAGCACACACACCCTTCCGATCCAGATCGGTGATTCCAGCACACACACCCTTCCGATCCCCACACACTGCTCACCTCGTGCAGCTTCGTGCCATCAGCCGTGTTGAACACTCTGATCAGCGTGCCCTTGCTGCTCGCCGTGGCCAGGCGCTGCCCATCCAGCGAGAGCGCGATGCAGGCGGGCTCCGAGTCATGCGCCGCTATGAAGTGCGTGCGGCGCTGGTCGAATAGCTCGATGCGGATCTAAGTGGAAAGAACGGGAGAGTGGGGGGGTGGAGGAGAGAGAGTGGGGGGTGGAGGAGAGGGAGTGGAGGGGAAGGGAGTGGGGGGAGAAAGCTGATGGACCAAGAAAGATGCAGCAAGCTCCGAGTCGTGCGCAGCTATGAAGTGCGCCCGGCACTGGTCGAATAGCTCCACACGGATCTAATGGGGGAAGGGGGGATATGTTCAAAAACAAGACATGGTAAGAGGGGGTGCGTCCACAGAGTGAGAAAAATGCATGCAGGCTCCGAGCTGTGCGCTGCTGTGAAGTGCGTGCGGTCCTGATCGAATAGCCCCACATGGATCTGAATGGGAAGAGGGGGGGGTGTATAAGTGCATGCTCAAAAGTGAGACATAGTTCAAGAGGACAGAGCGAAGCTCTCAATTCATACCGTTTGAACCAGGTCCTTAAGTGTGGACCACCTGTTAGCTCTCACTCAATTCACCGTCCTTACCAGCCTATCATTTTGCCGTCCTAGCAGTCACTTAAGAAGCGCGGGATCATCTTCCGTCCTTAAGCCATATTTACACTGTATCGATCTCTAGTGTATTCATGACGGCATCTAAGACTTGTTACCATCGCTTGAAAGACTGAGCCTCACTGTTTGCTGCGCGTTAACTGATCTGACTGACGGATTTTCATCCCTGAGCAGCTTGCACAGCCAGAGGATCTGCGATTGCCGACTTGCTGTCTTGCCAGCAAACATTAGGAGTTGGTCGTTCTGAAGAGATTGGCGCTGGCGGACCTACCACTCTCAGGTCTCCCCGACTCTTTCAGCCAGCTCTCGTCTCTGGAGTCCTTGTATGTGGTTCGATGGATGATTTGCTAACTTCCTTCCGGATTCACTTCCCTGAGCAGCTTGCACAGCCTGACGATCTGCGATTGCCGATTTGCTGTTTCGCCAGTGAATTTTGGGGAGCTACCGTCCTGAAGAGAGTGACACTTGCGGACCTACCATCGCCAATCTCTTCAGGCCAGCCACCTCCCCAAAGTTTGCTGGCTTGACAACAAATCGGCAATCGTAGATCGTCAGGCTGTGCAAACTGCTCAATGAAGTGAATCCGGAAGGAAGCTTGCGGATCTTCCATCGAACCACGTAGAAGGACCCCGGACACGAAAGCTGGTTGAAAGAGTCGGTGAGACTTGAAAGTGGTAGGTCCGTCAGCGTTAACCTCGTCAGGACGGCCAACTCCCCAATGTTTGCTGACAGAACAGCAAGTCGGCAATCGCAGATCCTCAGGCTGTGCAAGCTGCTCAGGAATGCGAACGCGTCAGTCAGATCAGTTAACGCGTATCAATCAATGAGGCTAAGCTCTTCAAGCGATGGTAGTAAGCTTTAGATCTCAACCCACCCACTATCCATCCCAATGTGTCCCAACTGGAGATGAGCAAAAGGCGAACACGAACATGTTCGTATTCGCCTTGCCTCGAGCACTCGTGTTCGGCGAACCGAACATGTTTGTGTTTGGCCGAACACAAACCGGTGGAGGGGGTGTTCGGTGTTTGCGAAACATGTTCGCGTTCGCTTGTAGGCTATGTGACGAAAGACGCGTCCAGCGTCTTGGACGCTTGCGTCCAGACGCTGCGTCCTAGACGCAGGACGCCTCTTGGGGG